TATTCACAGTACATGAAGAACTACTGCAACTATTTTCAGATTACTCATAAATAGATTCATTAATTCCTCAGAGGAAAATGAATTACTTTAGGGTTAGGATTAATTTGATGATAACCTTTGAAGCCTACTGGTAAAATCTGAAGCCATTCTATGGGCCTGATAGTTGCTAATAACAAACCATTATCATCCCAATAACAAATTTATTGGGATGATAACATACAAAGCGCTGCTGCAAACAGCCATTTAGTATTTATTTTGTAAAACAAGACTGAATCAATAAGAGGAGGAACCCATAAGATGATGCACAGGTTCTATATATTAGTTTTTAGACTTCATCTTCATCTGCTGCCAGAAGATTTCACCTAAATAGATAAATTGATCTACTACCATTCAAGAAATAATACTGTGATTGTATGCCATTTTGATATGTAATAGGTTTACTGATTATGTATTCCTGATATCTGAAAAAACATTTTTTTTTTTTGTCTAAATTAACATTTCAAACAAAATGAAATTTCCCACATGTAGAATAAACATTCTGGATGTCTAGAAATGAATTTCAGATCTCCATATTCCTAATATTACTGGTCAGGATTTGCATTATTTTAACTATGACATTTTTTCTTTTCAGATACCATAAATACATATTCAGTCAAGCTGATAAATGTCAAAATGTCCACTTAAAACGTGTAAACATTTCTGGATATATAAAGCTTAATTCTTATAGTTTTGTTTTGTACTTTCTAAAATTCAGTTTCTGCTACAAAAAAGTAATTTAGAAAACATATTATTACAGTTCAGTCTAGGATTGTGATTTTATATCAGGAAGAATTTTATTATAGTGATCTACAAATGGAACAAAAGAGAGGAGAGTGCTTTTAATAAACAAAACGGCCTGCCATATTGCACTACATGTAAACCTACGCATTAACTCAAGCAAATATCTTCTCCTCCATCTTCCCCTATTTTGCAGCTGTAGTGCTGTTTCTCTGTGTCCGAATTAGTACTCCACTGATAATGGCTTTTCATGCTTGTTGTGCATGCGCTTACCTCAGAGTGGACCTACTTAGAGTTGATTGAACTAATTCATAGCAGCTGTTGTGAAACTGACAACTCAGAGTTCCCGACGTTAGGCTAGATTAATTTAGAGTTGAAGATTTGGATCTGAGTTTATTAAACCTGCTTCGTCAAATGGACCCCAACCATTCTATTATTCTTTACTGATCGTTTACTGTAACAGGAAGAAAAGCTTCTAAAATATTATATATATCTTAAATAAAGGAGGGCAAATGCCAATGCAATTTAAACAAGTTAAAGTGACTAAATATCAACTCTTCAATTTAAAACCAAAACAGTCCAAGACACCATAACATAGAAATACAATGAATAATTATTTAAACTTCCAAGGCTTTTTTGTGTGCAATAATCACTAACGAATTTAATTCCAAAGCGTGAATTAACCCTTACACTGCCTTATTATTTTATAGCTGAAGCAGGAGCCAGGACCAGACAACCCAATCTTCCTTCCTACTGATTCTTCGCATGACTGGTTGTTGGCAAAAACTTTTGTGAGAAGTGCAGAATTTAATTTGCATGAGCTCAACTTTCACCTGCTGCGCACTCACCTGCTGGCTGAGGTCTTTGCAGTGTCCACGCTGCGCAACCTACCTATGGTTCATCCGCTGTACAAGGTAAGTGAACCTGCAGGACTGCAGGCTTCTTAGCATAAAGTTTAGATTTGCTGTTTCTCAATTTCCTGTTTTTAACAGTCTCTATATAATAATAATAATAATATTAATAATAATGATAATGATAATGATAATGATAATAATGATAACGATAATAATAATAATAGTAACAATAATAATAATAATAATAATAATAATAATAATAATAATAATAATAATAATAAATCATCATAATAATAAATTGTAACTTCACTACATCAGAGGTATAGCTCTGGAATGGTTCAGGTCATACTTGGTTTACTCTATTTCTTCCTCTGGTATTCTCTCATGTGGGGTGCCCCAAGGCTCGCTTCTGGGTGCTTTCCTGTTCCCTCTCTATTTGCTCCTGCTTGGATCCATACTTAAAAAGCATAGGAGCAAAAAATGATTTTTTTAGCATTGCTATGCAGATGACAGTCAAATTTATGTAAAGCTGTCAGATGAACACAAATTAAAAATGAATGTTTTGCAAAATGAAACACCAAAAAAATCTACTTTTTTCAAGATTTTCTACAATTCTGGATAATTGATAATTTCCTTAGACTTAGTTTTTTTTATTTTATATCAGTGTTTAACATGACTTTGCAACATCTTAAAAAAGTATTTATTTTGGTACTAAGCGAAGAAAAAGTTGGTGCAGTACCGAGTCAAATAACAAAGAAATTAATTGTCTGGATAATACAAATTATTTTCATGGATTACATTTTTTAAAATAACAACAGGCCATATTGTGAATGAGTCCAAATGGAACAAAACTAGCAAATCTACTTTTAAAACGTAAGGAGATATAGTTGCAAAAAATTTTAGGAAGTAGAAGTAAAACATCAAAAAAATAATTACTCCAGTAAAGTATAGATAGCTAACATTTCTACATAATACGGTAACAAAGTATTTGGACATTTTATTGACACATCCTCATTTATCAAAGATTATAATTATAAGGTTCTTGCCTCAAATGATCTGAAAACTTTTTGTAGAACAACAGCAACAGAAAAGTGACTTTTAACTTAATACTCTGGGCTCTTGAGGAGCGGGAACAATATACCAGGAATTTTGCGCGTTCTGGATCTTGTGTTCTTGTCAGTTGGGGCTTATGATGTGTCATGAGCACATGACAATGCTCAAGTATGCATATTGAGAGAGGGCCATTTTTCCTTAGTTTAATTGAATGTCCAACTTCATACACATTTTCTGAATTAGCCATTGTTTGTGTTTGGCACAAGAAAAACCAAAAAGCATGAGGGTTAATGATTTTTTTACTCTGTCCTCAGCTTCTCATACCCCACACTCGCTACACTCTGCATATTAATGTCCTGGCTCGAAAGGTCCTAATATCTGAGAATGGTGTCTTGACAACGGTGAGAAAACATTGTTTTGGTCGGTAACGACGTTTGTGTTTTACAAATGAAAATATTTTAACTTGTAATACATTTTTCATTAGGTGGCATCTTCGGGTGGAGAGGGTATGTTTAAAATCCTGGGGGACTCCTTGTCCTCAATGACGTACAGATCCCTCTGCATACCTGATGACATTGCAGATCGTGGGATGGAAAATATTCCCAATTTCTACTACAGAGATGACGGACTGAAACTGTGGAACAGCCTACACAGGTACAATTGGTTATGTTTTAAACTTGGATTATCAACCATGTGAAAGACGTTTTTTTTTTTTTTTTTTTTTTT